ATAAGTCACCTGAGTATCATATATTGTAACAACTTTCCAACAATTGAATTTGATTCTTAAATCAGAGGCCATAAAGAGGCACCATTGCATATCATAACTATACACTTAGCATGCTTACTTTGGTTACTTACTACCCAGAGGTAGATCATAGTAACAAAGAGAAAGTGCATTTCCACTTTATCAGTTGTGCATCCCATCCCAAGGGAACCATTGACCCTGGGGCCACATCTTCCAAATTTTGGAAATTTTATGAATTCTATTTTTATCATGTTGTTGATTAATACTTAAGTGCAGATTTCAAAGCATTAAATAATTTTCAGACTATGTACCCCGGCCATCTCACCAAGTACCTCTGACCAAGCTAGGGAACCGGAAATTGACCATTTGGAAGAGGCAGCTATTTCTTCATCATAAATATGTACCAAGATCATTGGCATAATACCCTGGAGCAAAGGAAAATATTTTCAAAGAATTCATGCATTTCACTATACATGTATAAACATTAAAGCCCCCCCCTAACACCAGAACCCCAACCGAAACCAAGGGGCCATGAAATTCACAATTTTGGAAGAGGCAGCCTTATTCAACATAACTATACACTTGGTTACTGTATTTAATTTCCACCAACAGAGAAGAAGAATTTCAATGAATTTATGCATTTTTACTATATAATCTATATAGCCCCACCCTGCCACTAGAACCCCTGACCCTGGGGCCATGAAATTCACAATTTTGGAAGAGGCAGCCTTATTCAACATAACTATGCACTTGGTTAGTTTTATTTAATGCCCATGAACAGAGAAGAAGATTTTTAAAGAATTTATGCATTTTCACTATATAATCAATAGAGCCCCGCCCTAACACCAGAACCACGACCCGGGGGCTATGAAATTTACAATTTTGGAAGATGCAGTCATGTTCAACTTAACTATGCACTTGGTTAGTTTATTTATTGACCTGGAGCAGAAAAGAAGAAGTTCAAAGAAATAAGGCATTTTCTCTGTATAATTTATTAAGCACCGCCAGGACTAGAACCCCTGACCCTGGGACCATGAATTTCAAAATTTTGGTAGAGGACTCAGTGCTGATTACAATCATACCAACAGTTTGACTGCTTGATGTGGAGGAGTAAAGAAGATTTTTAAAGATTGCACTAATTTTTGTGGTTTTGGCTCCACCCCCACGTACAATGAAATTCACAATTTTTGTTCCCCTTCACCCATAGATGCTATATGCCAAAATTGGTGGAAGTTTTTTCAGCTGTTTCTGAGAAGAAGCTGAAAATGTTCAAATGTTAATGCACGATGACGAATAAAGTATGTATGTACATAGTAAATATCCATGGACAGAGAAGATTTTTTTCCCCAAAGAAATTGTATATTAGAGCTATAGTTTATTGGTTCAGAAGAGCCTTATAGGCCTAATTCCAAATCCCTACATGACCCAGAAATTATGAAATTCAAAATAAAAAGTTTGTCTGCTGAATGGCAAGAGGCCCACAGGCCTTATAGGTCACCTGAGCACTATGCAACAACTTTCCAGTTATTGAATTTGATTCCTGTTTTAAGCCAGATGCTATATGGCATTCACAATTTTGAAAGAGGCACCATTGATCATCATAACAATAGACTTAGCAGTTGCTTAGCTTGATTACTGAATACCCGTACACAGGGTAGGGGAACAAAAATGCATTCCAACTAATCAGTAATATTCAGCAATAATCAGTAGTGCCCCTAACATAAACCCCTGACCCTAGGTCCACACATTACACAAATTTTAAAAAGGCACCCTTAAAATTGCCTATCAAAGAATAAATGAATGTTTTATAAATACAAAGGAGCAGATTTCAAACAATTAATTCATTTTCAGTATATAAGTCTGAGAGCCCCCCACCCCCCATCCTTGACCCTGGGGCCTTGAAATTCACAATTCTGCAAGATTAGGGCCCTTGCTCATCATAACTATATAGGTAGTTCATCTGCTTCATACCCAGAGACAGAGAAGAAAATTTTCAAAGATTTAATGTATTTTCACTATATAATCAATAGAGCCCCGTCCTAACACCAGAATCCCTGACCCTGGGGCCATAAAATTCATAATTTTAGAAAAGGAATTCTTGCTCATCATAACTATGTACTTAGTATAATTAATTCCTAGGAGCAGAGAAGAAGGTTTTCAAAGAATTCATGTATTTTCAATATATAATCAAACGAGCCCTGCCCTAACACCAGAACCCCTGACCCTGGGACCATAAAATTCACAATTTTGGTTGAGGCACTCTTGCTCATCATAACTATGCACTTATTTAGTTTATTTAATACCTAGGAGCATAGAAGAAGATTTCAAAGAATTAATGTATTTTAACTATATAATCAATAGAGCCCCCCCCCCCCCTCACTCCAGAATCCTTGACCCTGGGGCCATAAAATTCACAATTTTGGTTGAGGCACTCTTGCTCATCATAACAATGCACTTAGTTTATTTAATACCTAGGAGCAGAGAAGAAGATTTTCAAAGAAATCATGTATTTTTCACTATATATAATCAATAGAGCCACACCCTAACACCAGAACCCCTGACCCTGGGGCCATAAAATTCACAATTTTGGTAGAGGCACTCTTGCTCATCATAACTATGTACTTAGTTGGTTTATTTAAAACCCAGGCGCAGAGAAGAAGATTTTCAAAGAAATAATGCATTTTCACTACCTAATTATTTAGCCCCGCCCTAGCACTAGAACCCCTGACCCCACGGCCATGAATTTCACAATTTTGGTAGAGGACTTAATGCTGATTACAATCATGCAAACAGTTTGACTGCTTGATGTCCAGGAGTGAAGATTTTTAAAGATTGCATTAATTTTAGTGGTTTTGGCCCCACCCCTCAGGCCCCAGGGGGGCAGGGATCATGAAATTCACAATTTTTGTTCCCCTTCACCCATAGATGCTTTGTGACAAAGAACTATATGCGGTATATTACATATATATGCCCCCACAAAAGTCAAATTTTGAAAACTTCCTGAAATGTGCTGAATTCAATAAATTGTATGAGAAATATAAATTAACAGAAAATATTATAGTGTCAAAGCAGTGTATTCACAATTTTTGTTTTTATGACGTCACAAACTAGTCCGAATTTATATCCTTTTTCAGAAAGAGGACAAAATGGACAAAATTTCAACAATTTTAGCTTTAAAATTTATAGAGCGCATGTGTGTTCAGGAACAATATTGACATATTACATTGATATTATCATTCTTCACATTATATCAAAATATTGATCCTGAACACACATGCGCTCGGTGACTTTTACTCAAAATATCGACGAAATATGTATATTTTTCTGTAAAATTCATAAAAAACTGAAATTTACGTCATGTTTGTGACGTCATTACGTACATATGGCGTCATTACTTATGAAAATATTCAGTGCTTTGAAGTCAGCATATACTCCCCTGTTTAAGAACTTAATAATATCTCCATCAAAGTTTGATTTGGGGGGCAAATATTGGTTATTACCGAATAAAGTTCTTTGGTTGAAATTGGTTCAGTGGTTGCAGAGAAGAAAGCTGAAAATGTTCAAATGTTAACACATGATGGACGACGAAAACGGATAGCAATAGGTCACCTGAGCACAGGTGACCTAAAAAGAGACAAAGAGAAGGATTTTCAAAAAAATATATAATCTATTTGCATTCATTTCAGCAAAACACTGCAAGATTATTGAAAATACCATTACAATTGCTAGAAATTATTTGATGAGATAAAATGTTGCATTATACAAACTGGATGAACTGATATTTTACAATGATTTTTAAAAAGTTTGATCAGTTGAGTGTTCATTAGATTAGCACTCCATAGTACATTCAGTAATGTACATTTAAACACCAAAACTTCTCCTCTGCTTTAAAGGGCTTGGAACCTTCTGCTTGAAATAAATGTTAATTCAAGCAGGCAGCATTAAAAGTTTTGTGCCTTTTTTCAGTTTTTTTCCTTTCTCTAACACTTTTTTTCTGTTTTTTTTTCTTTTTCTTTTTTTTATTTTTTTCATTTTTTTTCATATTTTTTTCATTTTCTTTTTTGTTTGTTTCTTTCTTTCTTTCTTTTTTTTTGGTTTTTTTTTTTTATTTTTTTTTTTTTTTTTTTTTTTTTGCTTTTTTTTTTTTTTTTTTTTTTTTTTGCACAAAACTTGCCAATGAGATTAAAATAATTTCACATTTCAAATTCAAAATTCCACACTACAATTCATAATTTCACATCAACAATTCACAATTGCATTGATTTAACATTTTTAGAAGCAAAAAACTATTTTACATTTTCAAATGCAATTTTACAATTTTATATTAATTTCTTTCACTGCATATTTAGTCACATCAGTATATAGGGCATTCAATTTCACAATAAGCTAATAACGAAAAGGTGACAATACAAATTATTCTTTCTACAACAGCTGACAGAATTTACACATTTTATGAATACTTATGTCATATTTAAAAATCATTACATCTTGAACATATTTAACTTCATCAAAACAATTAAAATAATGAACTATTATCTCATTGGCATAATAATAAAAAGATATAAATTAAAGATCGACAAAGCAGCCTCCAACTAGTCCCTTTCAGCTTCTCCTCCCCGGGCCAGCCTGGCTACCGTGGCGGCGAAGGAACTTAAGTTCCAACCAGTAATGCCCCAGGGTATTGACAAAGCCTACTTACAATTAGCCTTCAACTACTTCATCTAAACAATGTGGATATATAGCTATAATGAAGAAAAGAAAAAAGAAAAGTGGGGGGTCAGTGTGGGAGGAAGACGGAGGACCCGTAGAGAACCCACATGTCCGAATGGGCGACCCCATACCCTAACATAATTCGGACACCCTTTACAAAAATACATATTTTTTTAAGTATTCTTTGAAAAAAACATTGTTAGTTTGTCACTAGAAAGCGTTTACATCAGCTGCTCTGAAGATGTGGATTAATCCTGCATTAATTAATTAAATCCTGCTTCTTCATCCACACACATGATCTCAAGGATGTTCCTTCTAAAATTTTCTTTGATTTTCTGCAAATGAACAATAGGCAAGAGGTAATTAACAGGTTTGAATAAAAAAAAATTGAGAAGAGACCTACATGCCTCATAGCTCACCTGAGCACTAAGGCTAGGAAAAAGCAGAAATCAATTCAGTACTGTAGATCACCATATTTTCACGACACCTTATTTTAATGACTTAGCTAGCGAAACAAAATCTACGCTAGCTGTGGTTTCTGTTGTATATAAACATTAATAATATAAATCTACACGAGAATAAATTTTTCGCCAGCAGACAGTCCCTTTTGAGAAATTTTCACTCAAAATGCAACATTTTTTCAGTGGAGGGCTACAAATGTATAGACCTATATCCTTGGTGTTAAGGCCATTGAGCAGTGAGGGATTTTTTTTTTGCACCTACTGCAACATGGCACCTCAGTTTATATGATCTGAGTGAAAGACTGGTCTCCTTGTCCCACACTGGGATTCAAACCCACAATGGTAGGATCAGCTCCTTACTATGCTACTTTATACCAGATGCTCTTAAATACCATTGTACCATGCAGCAACAACACAAAATGTGAAATTTAATTAAAATTTCACAGCGTAAATTACAGCAGATGTAACATTCTGGTGTTTTATACCACTTCCAGAGGTAAACAAACAGTAGGAAGGTCAAACATGTTAATCAATGTGCACAGATGAGGTCTCGGTGTTGACTTTTGCAGCAAGGTGTGCATCTGGTCACATACTGCATCAGTTTTAGCATGATAACACAACATGTGTTTATAGAATGTAATGCAAACAGGCTTAAAGAAGACCCAATGAATACAACATATTTTTAAAAAATTTTAGGGATGTCAAAATATTAATTTTCCTTAGTTGAACATTCAATTGCATCATTAGAACAATAGTCGACTATCATAGTACAGTGTTTATTAATTGAAATAAATTGGAAAATAGAAATAAATTGGAAGACGAGAACTGTAAACACACACTATCCACACCTCTGGTAATTATTTGTTAAGTTTAAAAACTCCAGGGCTTATGCAAATATTGTGTGTTTTTAGCATTTGAAATTCCTAGAGGTTATGAATATAACTGGTACAAGTCATTTAAATAATTTTCATAGTCCAGTATAGCATTGCATAATTTACTATTATAACAAAAAAGGTCAGGGATTGATAAATAATTATCATGGTATGGAATTACTGTCAATAAGTACAATGTGGAAAATTATTTATATACTGTGACTGTGTTTGAGCTCTTATTCATCTGAGGTGGTACACTATATAATTTGAGGAAGGACGCTTTTTCAATTTTAAGATGATAATTTCATCATCACTTCTTTTTGTATTTAATTAATATTTGAATGTCGATTCCTAATTATTTGATAGTCAGTCCATTCGACTGATAATCGAATAGTCAACTATTTGTTGACATTCTTAGAAATTTTTTACGTCAAAAATCGGAAGAAGATGGGAGAAAACACATATTTACCAATGTTTGTTTATAAAAATCTATATTATTCAACTACTGTAGACGTACTTTTTTCCAAGGGGTCAAAATTCCGTGGAATCTCTAATTCTGTTAAATCTGCTGGTAGAAAATTACGTGATATCTTTAGACTCTCTTTATATGCCTTATTACGTTTGAATGTACAAATTTCCAAGGAAAATTTGTGACCGCGTACATAGCGTAAATTAATACCACACAGAAAAAAGTACTTGTACAGTATGTTTTGAACAAGTGTTTGAGAAAAATGTATCAGGAATGGTTTAGAGTATACTATACAGGTATATAAATTTTTAGGCAAAATTTTAATATTTGTATGAATTAAGAGTCAGCATATTTCGGTGAACACCATTGCAAAAGACAGTAAGCTATATATATTGCTGACTACAAAAAAAGAGTCCTGGACTTAAAATTTGGTCAACTACACATGTAGATAACTTGACCTTAATAAGATAAACAATACGATGATTTGGAATATGATAATGTCATATACCTGATCAGTGTCAGCTATCAACTGTGGTATTTCTTGGAAGAAAAGTCAACATCCATCAGGCATCATCTTCAGGTGTTTCCACCATGTCTTGTTGGGAACATCTGCTGTTTCCACATGTTGAATATCATTGTCCATCAGGCTTGTCTGTGTTAATTGTTTCCACCAATTCCTTTTGGGTGTAGCTGGTGTTTTCACATATTGGAAAATCATTGTCTATCAAGTTTGCCTCAAGATTCATAATGGCCTTGCCTGCTCAAGATTTATTTCACTAAGTCCTTTTGGAGGTATTTGCTGTTTTCCCATCTTAAAAGAGGTTCATCAAGCTTGTCTATTCCAGTTGTTTCCACAAAGTTTTGCATGTTGGCTGCAGCTGCAGTAAGAGTCAGAACATAAATGAAATTAATATATCATTGAAGTTTTTTTTAGGAAAATCCCCATTTAACTTTTTTTTAACAATTGTTACATTGTCTCAACAGTGGTTTGATATATGGTTTAAATTATTAAGCAAAAAAAAAAAAAAAAAAAAAAAAAAAAAAAAAGCCGAACATCATAACAAAAGTCAGCTATTGCTGACCTTAAGATATAAATCCAGCTAGTTAATATGACTTTGTTAATAAAATGATCTTGAATTATGATAATGCCACATACCTGATAAATGTCAGATCAGCATCCTTTGGCTATTCATCCTCCAGTTGTTTCTATCAGGTTCTTTTGGGTTTATCTACTGTTTTCACCATGTACTGTTGGGTGCATTTGCTGTTTCTACATCTTGGTAGATCAGCATGTACTGACTTTGCATCATCCAGTTGTTTCTATCAATCAGTGTCCGGTTGGGTGCATCTGCTGTTACACATGTCTTGTTGAGGACATCTGCTGTTGCCACATCTTGAAAGATTAGCATCCATTGGCCCTGCCTCCTCCAGCTGTTTCCACCATGTCATGCCCTTGTTTACTATCATAAGCTTTTTTGTCTCTGACCAGTAGAGCTAAAAATAAGCCAGACCAAAAATAAAAAGTCAGCTAGTAAATTTGACATGGTTAATTAGATGATCTTTAATCATGATTATCTCATATACATGTACCTGATCAATGTCAGTTATCTCCTCTGATATGTCTTGTTTGGAAGGTCAACATCATCAGGCAAGTCTCCTCCAGTTGTATCCACCATGTCCTGTTGGCCCATCTTCTGTATCCACCAAGTCCAGTTGGTGCATCTGCTGTTTCCACCAGGTCCTGTTGGGTCCATGTGCTGTCTCCACCATGGCCAGTAGGGTACATCTGCTGTTTCCAACATGTCCTGTTTGGTCCATCTTCTGTATCCACCAAGTCCAGTTGGCACATCTGCTGTTTCCACCATGTCGTGTTGGGTCCATTTGCTGTCTCCACAATGGCCAGTAGGGTACATCTGCTGTTTACACCATATCCTGTTGGACTGCTGTTTCCACCAAATCAAGTGGAGTGCTTCTGCTGTTTCTACCACGTCAAGTGAAGTGCATCTGCTGTTTCCACAATGGCCAGTAGGTTGCATTATCTGCTAAAAATATCAACAGCTTTATCTCACTATATGCATTTTACACTAAAATACCCTAGTCAGTCCCTTTCAACTAAGATTTTATTTCCTTAATTTATGAAACTTTTATTCTGCTCCTTAATTTTTGGTCTTTAATTTGTTTAAAATTATGATCACATATTAAAGGTGACCACTTAATAAAGTTTTATAGGATATTTCAATGGGAAAAAATAAAATGACCACCTAAGAAAGATCTCTGCTGTATAAAGGTGATTACTATGAAGTTCGGCTGTATATTATTGATTTGAAATGGAACATCATAAATCTATAATCTAACAATAATACTTCATTTCAGTTTCCTGTAAATTTTTCAATTATTACCCATTCAATATTTTCTATCTTACCTTATCGATGATGGTTTAGAATTTGGCTTATTCCTCTTCATCTTTAGTGGATTGTCCAACTATAAAATACTAACAAAATTTTAAAATAGAACTGAATAGATACAGTAAAACTCGTTTAGTACAAACATAGATATTGCAAATTAAAAGACATAGCGAAGTTATCTTGAATCCCTAGCTACTGTATATAAATTTTATGAAATCATTACATGGATATAACAAATTATGGATATAGCGAAGTAATGTCATAGGTCCCAGTGACTTCAATATAAACGAGTTTTACTGTAATAAGGCCCTCAATAAGACAGATGTTTTGGGTGAAACACACTGTTTCCTCATTATCCAACATGTCTAATGTTCATGCTAATGCACAATGCAACAATGAACATTAGACAATTTCTTATTAGGAATAATAAGCAATAACAAATAAAGCTCATAACTATATAATTAACAAAAACTCATAACTATAACAAATAACTAAAAAAATCTCAACTAAAGCAAATAACTAAAACTCATAATTATAACAAATAACTAAACTCATAACAACTAATTAAAACTCATAACAGTAATAACTAATTAACACTCATAACAATAATAAATAATGGAAAAATCACAACAAAAGCAAATAACTTAAGCTCCTAACAACTAAAACTCATAACTGCCACAATAACAAATAACTGAAACTTGTAACAATGTCAACTAATAAAAATTTATACAAATAACAAATAACTAAAAAAAACAAACAAAAAAAACATAATGTAACAATTAACAAATAAAACATGAAAATTAACAACTTTTACAACCCTCATAAACAAAAAACTATAATAACAACCTAATATGGAAATAACAATGATAAAAACCTAATGAACAAATAACAACTAAAACTAACAAACAAAACAAAATACAAAACAAAAAAGTAAGAACTAAAATAACAAAGAGACCTAACATCAAAGAAATACAAAAAAAAAACCCTCCACTCCAGCGTTGTTGGCATGCTGTTCCAATTCAAGATGCCCAGCCTCCTCCATTGATGAAGAGCCAGCAGCCTCCAAGTGCACCATCTCCAACGATGACATCCCGGCAAAGAGAGAACAGAGAAGATTAGACAAAGAAAAAACAACAGAACAAAAAACAAAAGGAAAGAACTACTACTACAAAAAATGTGTTGAGAGGGAAAGGGGAGGGAAATGTTAGTACTAATTAGTAAGAGTACAAAAATGATAATGAAACCAACTCACCTCTGCTTTTCCTTAACAACTAAGCAATACCTCCACTCCAGCGTTGTTGGCATGCTGTTCCAATCCAAGATGCCAAGCCTCTTCTAAATCCTTCAACGATGAACAGCCAGCCGAATCCCTATACCACCATCTCCAACGACGAAATACCAGCCACGTCCAAGTTCGTCATCTCCAACGATGACATCCCTGCAAAGAGAGAACAAAGAAGATTAGACAAAGAAAAAAACAACAGAACAAAAAACTAAAGGAAAGAACTACTACAAAAAATGTGTTGAGAGTGGGGAAGGGGAGGGAAATGTTAGTACTAATTAGTAAGAGTGCAAAAATGATAATGAAACCAACTCACCTCTGCTTTTCCTTAACAACTAAGCAATACCTCCACTCCAGCGTTGTTGGCATGCTGTTCCAATCCAAGATGCCCAGCCTCTTCTAAATCCTTCAACGATGAACAGCCAGCCGAATCCTTTTACCACCGTCTCCAATGACGAAGTGCCAGCCACGTCCAAGTCCATCATCTCCAACGATGACATCCCGGCAAAGAGAGAACAAAGAAGATTAGACAAAGAAAAAAACAACAGAACAAAAAACTAAAGGAAAGAACTACTACAAAAAATGTGTTGAGAGTGGGGAAGGGGAGGGAAATGTTAGTACTAATTAGTAAGAGTGCAAAAATGATAATGAAACCAACTCACCTCTGCTTTTCCTTAACAACTAAGCAATACCTCCACTCCAGCGTTGTTGGCATGCTGTTCCAATCCAAGATGCCCAGCCTCTTCTAAATCCTTCAACGATGAACAGCCAGCCTAATCCTTATACCACCATCTCCAACGACGAAGTGCCAGCCACGTCCAAGTCCATCATCTCCAACGATGACATCCCGGCAAAGAGAGAACAAAGAAGATTAGACAAAGAAAAAAACAACAGAACAAAAAACTAAAGGAAAGAACTACTACAAAAAATGTGTTGAGAGTGGGGAAGGGGAGGGAAATGTTAGTACTAATTAGTAAGAGTGCAAAAATGATAATGAAACCAACTCACCTCTGCTTTTCCTTAACAACTAAGCAATACCTCCACTCCAGCGTTGTTGGCATGCTGTTCCAATACAAGATGCCCAGCCTCTTCTAAATCCTTCAACGATGAACAGCCAGCCGAATCCCTATACCACCATCTCCAACGACGAAATGCCAGCCACGTCCAAGTCCATCATCTCCAACGATGACATCCCGGCAAAGAGAGAACAAAGAAGATTAGACAAAGAAAAAAACAACAGAACAAAAAACTAAAGGAAAGAACTACTACAAAAAATGTGTTGAGAGTGGGGAAGGGGAGGGAAATGTTAGAACTAATTAGTAAGAGTGCAAAAATGATAATGAAACCAACTCACCTCTGCTTTTCCTTAACAACTAAGCAATACCTCCACTCCAGCGTTGTTGGCATGCTGTTCCAATCCAAGATGCCCAGCCTCTTCTAAATCCTTCAACGATGAACAGCCAGCCGAATCCTTATACCACCATCTCCAACGACGAAGTGCCAGCCACGTCCAAGTCCATCATCTCCAACGATGACATCCCGGCAAAGAGAGAACAAAGAAGATTAGACAAAGAAAAAAACAACAGAACAAAAAACTAAAGGAAAGAACTACTACAAAAAATGTGTTGAGAGTGGGGAAGGGGAGGGAAATGTTAGTACTAATTAGTAAGAGTGCAAAAATGATAATGAAACCAACTCACCTCTGCTTTTCCTTAACAACTAAGCAATACCTCCACTCCAGCGTTGTTGGCATGCTGTTCCAATCCAAGATGCCCAGCCTCTTCTAAATCCTTCAACGATGAACAGCCAGCCGAATCCTTATACCACCATCTCCAACGACGAAGTGCCAGCCACGTCCAAGTCCATCATCTCCAACGATGACATCCCGGCAAAGAGAGAACAAAGAAGATTAGACAAAGAAAAAAACAACAGAACAAAAAACTAAAGGAAAGAACTACTACAAAAAATGTGTTGAGAGTGGGGAAGGGGAGGGAAATGTTAGTACTAATTAGTAAGAGTGCAAAAATGATAATGAAACCAACTCACCTCTGCTTTTCCTTAACAACTAAGCAATACCTCCACTCCAGCGTTGTTGGCATGCTGTTCCAATACAAGATGCCCAGCCTCTTCTAAATCCTTCAACGATGAACAGCCAGCCGAATCCCTATACCACCATCTCCAACGACGAAATGCCAGCCACGTCCAAGTCCATCATCTCCAACGATGACATCCCGGCAAAGAGAGAACAAAGAAGATTAGACAAAGAAAAAAACAACAGAACAAAAAACTAAAGGAAAGAACTACTACAAAAAATGTGTTGAGAGTGGGGAAGGGGAGGGAAATGTTAGAACTAATTAGTAAGAGTGCAAAAATGATAATGAAACCAACTCACCTCTGCTTTTCCTTAACAACTAAGCAATACCTCCACTCCAGCGTTGTTGGCATGCTGTTCCAATCCAAGATGCCCAGCCTCTTCTAAATCCTTCAACGATGAACAGCCAGCCGAATCCTTATACCACCATCTCCAACGACGAAGTGCCAGCCACGTCCAAGTCCATCATCTCCAACGATGACATCCCGGCAAAGAGAGAACAAAGAAGATTAGACAAAGAAAAAAACAACAGAACAAAAAACTAAAGGAAAGAACTACTACAAAAAATGTGTTGAGAGTGGGGAAGGGGAGGGAAATGTTAGTACTAATTAGTAAGAGTGCAAAAATGATAATGAAACCAACTCACCTCTGCTTTTCCTTAACAACTAAGCAATACCTCTACTCCAGCGTTGTTGGCATGCTGTTCCAATCCAAGATGCCCAGCCTCCTTAGAAATGTCCTCCAACGATGAAGAGCCAGCTGTCTCCAAATCCTTGTTCCACCATCTTCAACGACGAAGTGCCAGCCACGTCCAAGTCCATCATCTCCAACGATGACATCCCGGCAAAGAGAGAACAGAGAAGATTAGACAAAGAAGAAACAACAGAACAAAAAACTAAAGGAAAGAACTACTACAAAAAATGTGTTGAGAGTGGGGAAGGGGAGGGAAATGTTAGTACTAATTAGTAAGAGTGCAAAAATGATAATGAAACCAACTCACCTCTGCTTTTCCTTAACAACTAAGCAATACCTCCACTCCAGCGTTGTTGGCATGCTGTTCCAATCCAAGATGCCCAGCCTCCTTAGAAATGTCCTCCAACGATGAAGAGCCAGCTGTCTCCAAATCCTTATTCCACCATCTCCAACGACGAAGTGCCAGCCACGTCCAAGTCCATCATCTCCAACGATGACATCCCAGCAAAGAGAGAACAGAGAT